GCCGTTGTAAGGCAGTGGGCACCTTCAGCAGGCAGGTGTCTGGAGGAGGGGAAGTGTGAGAAGAAGGAAACGAGAACAAAGAAAGGATGAGGGATGTGTGAGGCTATCATGAACAGTGGAGTGGGCTCAGAGGATTGTTGAGGATGTGTTTGCTGCTTTCTCCATCTGAAAGAGAGCATATTTAAACCTGTACGTTGTCCGTGCTATAGAAACATTTGTGCTGCCATAAGTCAGGTGTTGACCTTTCCCATCTCAAAATCCTGGAGCATTTATCTTGCATTGCGAGAGCAATTGATTCTCTCCTCAAGAGAAGCTGACATTCTGACTCTATTGTCTTTGATGTATATGTACTCTGTTTATTGACCACATGAGAAAGCCAGATGTTTAGGCTGAGAAAGTTGGGGCTGTTCAGCCTGGAGAAGAGAAGCTGCGTGGAGACCTCATAGCAGCCTTCCAGTATCTAAAGGGGGCCTATAGGGATGCTGGGGAGGGACTCTTCATTAGGGACTGTAGTGATAGGACAAGGGCTGATGGGTTCAAACTTAAACAGGGGAAGCTGAGGTTAGATATAAGGAGGAAATTCTTTCCTGTTAGGGTGGTGAGGCACTGGAATGGGTTGCCCAGGGAGGTTGTGAATGCTCCATCCCTGGCAGTGTTCAAGACCAGGCTGGACGAGGCCTTGGGTGAGATGGTTTAGTGTGAGGTGTCCCTGCCCATGGCAGGGGGGTTGGAACTGGATGATCTTGGGGTCCTTTCCAACCCTAACTATTCTATGATTCTATGTTGTATTTAAGGGGCAGTATAGTATAATCTAAAAGCAGGAGTACCAACGTCTTCTGTCTTCTGACCCACCAAATTTATCATGTGTGCCAACAAGACCTCTGTGTTGTGGTGTTCCTGTTGGGTGTTAAATCTCAGTGACTGGGCTCAAAAGCAGTTGAGGTTTTGGGGCCTAACATTCTCTTCCCACAAAAGCTATAAAATGGGCAGAGCTTTAAGGGAACCACAGCAACCTTTGCCCAAGCTTTCCTATAGTCTAACTCAGCCCTCCCTCCATCAATGTTCTCATGGGTAGCCACAAGTCCCCAGAGTGTTTGAATCCCCTGCATGGTGATGGAGGGTGTCTGTCTATAGTGTCTGTGTGGACACACACACAAAAGGGACTGACATATGTGTGTTCTTGATTTTACACATGCTAAACACAGCGAGACTCCATCACCTGCAGCAGCTCAAGCAGCAGTTGTGCTGCTGCCATGGGGAGCTGATGGGCCTTTTCAGTATTGGATACAGCAGAGAGAAATGTGGATGATTTAGGATTAGTTTTATTTTTACAGCAAAACCAGAGTTCACTAACTCCCATTGTAATCTGACTGGGCTGTGGTGTATTTAACTGATTTCACGTTGATAATGCTGGGCTTTGATAATTGCTTTCTGTAATAGGAACAAATTTATGATTATGCTAATTCATCTACTGCCAGCCAGTCTGTAGCAGCAGAGTTAATCCATACCTGCCCCTGCATTTCTTGTCTACATCATTATGTGATTAGCCTTTGGTAGAAATTGATGGGGGTATTTTAATTCTGAGCAGATTTAATTTCGGGGGGGGGGAAATCAGATGTCTTTATATAAACTTGTGGCATATTATAGCAGGTTTTGAACTAAGCCTGGTTCAAGATGGAAACATTTCAGATCTTCAGACAGCCTAATTCTTTAAAAGAAATGTATTTAATTGCGTTACAAGTAACTGTGTGACCTCTGCTGATGAGAAAGCTGGAGGAGTGAAATGCTGATGAGGTTTGAGTCTCCTCCTCAGGCCCTGCAGGGTGGCAGCTCAGAACACCGTGCCTCATTTCAGTGTGGAGACACGGTCTGCTTCTTTGCCTTTCATTTGCTTGGTTGTGTTTGTGTATTTGTGTGTGTGCTGAATTATTGCAAAGGTTGCATCCCTGCAAGTTACCACAACCTTTTGTCATCATGACTCCTTTATCAGTTTATCCTGTAAAGCCATCCATTGGTTCTCCATTTCTGACTGCTGGGGCAATGGCAGTGAAGGAGTCTGAATAAATCTGAGTTTTCTTCAAGGGAGGGGGAAGTTGGAATAGGAGATGAGCATTTGCAGTGTCATCAAGCCTCCAGATAAAAAGCAAAAGGCAATGCTGCCCTCCCTTACAAATCCTCTTTGGATCGCACATCTCTCAACGTGTTCATGTTTCTGTTCCATCTGTTTAATGCTCTCCTTTCACTGTGATCATCATTCTTTGAAATGCTTTGCTTTAATGTAAATGTTTTTCATTCACCAAGCCTGGCAGCCCCAGACTCAGCAAACAGGGGGTCAGTGTGAGCTCCCTCCTGGAAAACTGTGTACAGGAAAAACTCCCTGGAGCACGAGAGTCACGGCCATGGGTACCCGGAGCCCGCTGCCCCAGAGCTGCCCTTGTGCAATGGTAGCTCTGGTAGTACTAGACATGTTTGTCATTTCTTTGGACACGACTGTGTTTGTCATTACACTGCACATAAAGTGAGTTTAATTCTGACTGCGACCATTGAATTTCTGCCACTTGATTTATGCTTGTGCTGCTGTTCCATAATTTAAATTGCATTCCTAGTTTCTTTGCTGGAACCCTCTCTGATAATGAGTAGTACAGTTCACTGCAGAGGGAAGCTGAATAGTGAATGGATTACTTGATTGTTCCTCCTCTCACTCAGACCAAGGGGAATGTAATGCGTTCAAAGAAACACTCTTCAGGGAAGAGCTGAGTGTTACTGGGTTTAGCAGGGCTGGCTGGTGGCTGCTCCAGAGCTGTGCCTGGCCACCCGTGGTCAGTAGAGGTGAGGTGTCAGTTGTAGGGATGAATGTTGGCCAGGAGATTGCCTGGAGTGCTTCTAGCAGTGGAAATGAGGACACCTGAGTGTGTGTGAGGTTCATGCCAAAGGGTGATTGCGTGCCCTGACAATGCCAAAGGAGGTCTCCTCTGGCTCCCACACATAAGCGCGGCTGGGTCAGGTGCTGCTCCTCACTTAGAAACTGCATGGGAATGTTTGTTGTGGTGTGCACTGGGGCACACAAAGCCTCTGGTCCCAAAACTCTTGAAACTTCTGTGAAGGAGACAGTTAAAAAAGTAATCCCGGTGTAAAGTTCAGGTTTGAGGAGTGAAGCAAAGCAGCGTGGTGACAGAGCTTTGTAAGAATGCAGAAATAGCCAGGCCTGGCTCCAGTGCCGGATGTGAGCTTTGATGGTGATATTCTCTCTCTGTTACCATTTTTGGTTAACTTCAGCTTAAGGAAGAGCATACAGATCTAAAACCTTTTAACTGCTTTCTGTATGCAGTGTGTAATGTACTTCGCACTCGGGAAATGCCTCTGGTGACATGTGTAAACCAATGACTTCCTTTAATCCATAGTCGCCATGCAGGGTACCAGTGCCACAGATCTGGATTCCTTTCAGGGTAAGTTCTCAGCTGACTGGGATATAGGAAGCTGTGGGGCATGTCAGTCACACACCCAGAGTGAGGGATGCTACTGGAAGGGGAAGCTGCTGTCTGGCATGAAATGTAATTGGCTTTGCTGGTCAGCTTGTGCAGATTTGTTTGTAAACTGGGAAGTGTACAAATCGCAGACCATCTGCGCAGAGCAGAGCGCTAATGAACGCCTGGAGCTAGGAAATCCATAAGCTCATTACCACAAAGTTCCAGGTCCTTCCGCAAGTTCCTAACGAGGTTATTCGTCTGAACTGAGATGGGAAGGGGATTTGACTCCAGGGCGCAGCCACCCCTCCTTCAGGTCTGGAAAAGCTATCAAAATAACTCATATTTAGTCTTTTAACAGAACGTGTTAATTCTGTTTCTATTTTTAATGCTTCGCTTCTGTAGCAGTAGCTTACCATGCCTTAACTATTTCTTTGTAATGTTTCAAGTCAAGAAATGCCTTGGAGATAATTCCTGGGTCTCCTCAGATACATTATGCACAGCAGTTCGTGGTATTTATGTACCTTCACAACAAATCCTAATGCTCTCTGGGGTTTATGGAAATTGGGAATCTGTGACCACTCAGCCCTGTGTGATTCCATCCTTCTGTTTCTCGCTCAAAATAAGTGGAATTAATAATACTTACTACATGTCACCCACCCTATTACAAAGGTTGGGTGATCGCTGATCACTGTCCAACTGTTTGACATGGGAAGCACTGCATATCCAGAGCAGTAGTTGTAAATAGTTCTTATTTTTTCTCTGACATTTTCTTCCATATTCTTTGACTAAAAATCAGTCACTTTCTAAGTTACCAGCCCACAGCACCTTCCTCTGAGGTGCCGGGATAGGAGCCCAGTGCGGTCGTTGGCTGATTGCACATGGGCATTGGTCAGGGTTCTCTGCTCCTGCAGTCAAAGCAGATACTTCCCAATCAGATCAATGAGGTTGTTGGCTCAAGGCATCAAGCGCCTGCGTTTGGCTTTACAGGTTTCCAGACATTTCCCTGTTTTGCCTTTCCTTAGGGAAGCCAGAAGGATCCCCTAAGCAGGACAGTGATTGAATCACATCAGTAATTTTATCATCACATCTCAGATTAAACATGAAGGAGGCCGTTACCTACCCCACCAGGGAGAGTGTGATTAATTGCTCTCCTCTTTTCCTACCTTCTTCTTCCTCTCCTTTCCTTCCTTTTTGCCCAGTAGAACAGTAACGGTTCCCTTACAATCCACACCCATACAGCTCTGAACAAGCTCTTTGCCATTTTCTGTTCTTTCATTATTTGCTACTTTGCTATGACCCAGCATTTAATTTGATGTGCTTTGTTAATAAGCTCTAGGGTCTTCACGACAGGAACAGAGGAATAGTTTCTGAGTCTGTGAATGTCTGCCTGCTTGGGAATCCCATCCTAGCTTCACTTTTAATGTTATGATAAAGATCACAATGACATTTACTAATGAAATCACTGAAATACAATTTAGCAGATTTCCTGCTTCCATCTTTTCGTTTCCTACTTCCTGTTCTTCTCTGCTCCAGGTGGAATGGCTGAAGAACGAGGAGCCCATAGATTCCAACCTGGATGAGAACATTGACACCAGAGCAGATCACAACCTCATCATTCGACAGGCACGCCTCTCTGACTCGGGGAACTACACCTGCATGGCTGCCAACATCGTTGCCAAGAGAAGGAGCATGTCTGCCACGGTCGTGGTGTACGGTCAGTGCGAACGTGCTCGTTACAGAGGAACATAGATGTGTGTGCTGTTAGTGCTGGAGTACTTTGTATTTTTAGCATCCAGCTGGTTCTGAATCAAACGGCTAATTTCAGTTCTGTTGCTCAAGGCTGAGATGCCTCCTGCTCTTAGAGAGATTGGAATTACGAGGGGTTTGTTTGTGATGGATTCCCAGAACTTATGTCAATAATAGCAGTTCTTGCTCCAGATAGTACGAAGATCCAATTATAAACTAAACCACAGAGATAAGCCTCGCCTGTACCAGGAGAGCCTGGAGCACAAGCCTGGGGAGGTACATAAAGGGCTGCCTTAATTGGATCTACTGAATCTAGATATTACTCAGCAAAGGATAGAAGAGCAGAACCAGGGCTTTATTACCTTCCTCTCTCAGGAAGGCAGAGCATTCCTGAATCACCCTTTTTAAAGTCAGGAAGTCTTGTTTACGATTTGAGCAAAGCTTATTTTATGAGAATTGAAATGCCTGCCTCCCAGGCTCTGTCAGTCATTGCACTTACAGCATAGTACTCTTCCAGAACAAATGCTTGTGTTCTCTGACACCATGGCCTTGATGTGGTTGTGTACTGATGTGCAGCGATGTTCCTACTGCAGCTTGGCATTTGCCTGTAGAGTAAAAAAACAAACTTCTGCCTTTGAATGACATGATCTGATCAGATGTGTTGGTTGATGGCTCTTAGCCTCCGGCATGTTGGTGTTTTGCAGTTAATGGAGGCTGGTCATCCTGGACCGAGTGGTCCAACTGCAACGCTCGCTGCGGTCGGGGCTGGCAGAAGCGTTCCCGGACCTGCACCAACCCTGCTCCGCTCAATGGAGGTGCCTTTTGTGAAGGGATGTCTGTACAGAAAATCACCTGCACTTCTCTCTGCCCTGGTGAGATACATACAGTCTGCTAAGGACTGACCCTGGGTAACATTCGTGGGAGAGCTGTTTCAGCCTCAAATGCCAGTTGTGCTTAGACGAACCCATCGAGGTCAAAAAGGAAATGGGAAACACTTGCGTCCTTGTTTAGACTGCAGCTCAGAGCCTGATGTAGGTGTGAGCAGGTCACAAGCAGCTATGGCCTGACGTGCCAGGTTTGTCAGTGCTTTAACTTACACTGAAGATAACTAAATAACAACAGCAGCTGGTTCAGTAGGAAAATCATGTTAGTGGGGGTGGTACAGGGAAGGGGAGGTGACATTAGGAATGATAAAGGGAAATGGAGAAACCTAAACTGAGAACTTAGCTGGCAGAAGTTTGCTTTCCATATATATTAACCTTTGGAAGCTGAGCTTGGGCCATACATGGGGCATGGACCCCTGGATACTCCATTTCCTTATTTGTTCACCTGAAGCCTCCCTTGTCAGATTCTGGGTTTGGTGTTTCACACATAGAGCTAAAGAAAGTCAGTGGAACTGTGTGCATGTGTGTTGTAAGAGACTGTGTTAGTCTGTGGTCACATCATAAATTGTCTGGACTCTGACAAATCTCTCCTGGCTTTTATGAGTTTTTAAATACAACATGCGCTGAACTGGGATTTAAAAACTTCGTATGATATAAACATGTCTCTGTACATCTGACTGTTCTTTGGTTTGATTTGTGCATGAGAGAGAAAGGGAACTGTGGAAACCCTTCTCATTATCGGACAGGGTCAGAGACAGCTATAAATCAGTCAGCAGAGCAACAGATTGATCCTCTCTCCTGCCCAGGGCATTAGCCAGAAGTCTGCAGGGCCAGGTCTGCTCTGGTCTTTTTGTAGATGTCACCAACCCTGCTCTGGTAGGAAAATGCACAGCCTCGACGTCAGCCTGGCTTCAGGTAGAATTTGTGCTGAAACTTTAGAAGCCGAGGAAATGCTTCCTCCTGCCGTTTTAATTGACTCTGTTTGCAGAATGCTACACACTGGTGCTATTCTAAAAGCTCCCATGCTGCACGCTTGGGGAGGTGCATCCTAATGCTGGATTTTAACATCACATCTGACCAAACTCTATTTATTTCTCCTCGGAATGAAACTTTACTTGCTGTGACCTGAGGAGAGATAGGAAACGGGTATTCTTGGCAGGACCTTGACTACACCAGCTCCGAACACAGTGATGACACTTGTTTCTCCTTCCTCCCCATTCAGTGGATGGAAGCTGGGAGGTGTGGAGCGAGTGGTCTGTGTGCAGCCCCGAGTGCGAGCACCTGCGGGTTCGGGAATGCATCGCGCCGCCTCCCCGCAACGGGGGCAAATACTGCGAGGGCGTGAGCCAGGAGTCTGAGAACTGCACGGAAGGGCTCTGCATTCAAGGTGAGGAACGGTCGGTGCTGGCTTGGGACTGGGAGGTATGGCCTGAGATGTGTGCTGTGAGCCAGGGAGTGCAGCGTGTGCCACACACCCGTGTCAGCGCAGCGCTCGTGCCTCAAATCCGGCTGTGAAAGAGATGGTTTTCAGAGGGCTGCATGTGTGAAAGTGGACGTCCACACAGCACACACTTCACCTTGAAGTTACGAGTTTGAAAATCCAAATGAAGGCTTTGTGCAATGTGTAATTACAATCACACGCTGCAGCACATTTCAGTGTCCTGCTCGGCCTCCTACCTTGTCTTGCAAGTGAGCCAGCAAAGCCCCACAACGAATGCTCTTGGTGCAAGAGCTGTTTAAGGTCAAAGTTTATTCCAGTTGTTGCCTTTAACCCAGAAGATAAATAAAAGCAAATCTCCTCCATGGGGAGTTCAGGCGTTCAGGATCTACATCTGCATGGCCTGCAGCTTGAGCGAGAGGTGGGTTCCTCAGCAGGAAGACAGAGGGGGATGTCAGCTGGTCCAAACGGTTCAATTCATCACAGGGGGGTATGACACAGGGCTGGGGCTGGCATTTTCTGGCAGATACCAATGTAATGTTGGCTGTGGGACATGAAGCAGGCTGCCTTCTGAAAGGTGCTGCAGAGGAACATCGAGGTTGAAAGCAGAACTACTTCAGGCCGTAAGGAGGCAGTTGCCAGTTCACCTTCCTCCTCAGAAAGCAGGGTTTAGAAAAGAGGATAAAAATCAAATCCATCCCATGACAGCCCCATCAGTGATTGCACAGATAGTGCAGGAGTATTTATTTTTGCTGTTATTAAATTGGATGCCTACGAAAGAGGGCAAACTGACAACCCCAGAGACATAGTTCTCTGTTTATCCACTGAATAGATTACAACAAAGCAGAGCTTCCAAGCTCCTGCTTTGCTTCAGCTCCCTGTTAAGGACGCCAATAGCAAGCACTAGACACAAGCCCACGGCACCAAGTGGTGTGATAGGTGGTCCGTTGGAATAGTTACAACGTGACAACTAACTTAGTTTTAATAATTACCTGAATTATTAATTACTATTTTCATTGTGTGTCAAATGCTTTGTATAAAGTCAAGCTCTTTGCATCAGGGCCTGTCCCTCTGCTTTATGTTTGTACAGCCCCTGGTGCAAAGATTATTGTTAATGAACCACTAACCTGACTAATGGCACTGCAGTAAAAAAGAAAAATGCCCCAACAAGCTGAAATCAATGGAGCCAGCCCAGGATTCACCACTGCCTCTGCACAAGAATTCCAATTCTTCTTTGCTGTGGCATTTAGAATCACTTTATAGATGCAGTTTTAAGAACGTGTAACTGGTTTGCACCCCCATGTGCAAACAGAAGTCAGTGGTGCATGTCTGAAAAGAAGTGTCTGGAATAGCAAAGTCTTTCTCTTTCAGCTGCAAATCACTTTTCTACAAATGGGACTTAAAGTGCTCTTAATTGACTTAAAATGTTCTTAATATGCTGTGTGTAAAGAACTTGCTGCCTTTAAATAAATGGATCATTATGGGTAAAAAGATACAAAAAGCCTGTTTGAAAATGGGAGTAAATTTTGCACAGATGGAATCAACCTGTGTCACTGTGGCACACAAAGCTTGTAAAACGCAACTTTGATGTTGAAATGAACTATCAGAATCATTTTACAAAGGATAAGTGGCATAAGTAATAAACCCCACATTTTATGATTTAAATGGAAAGCCATTTAAAATCTAAGCCTACTCGGGGTGCATGTATTGACATCAAAGCAATGCTATTTAAAATTAACACAACTAAATTCTCAGCTTATGCTGAGTATCAGTGGGGGGGATCTGCTGCTGCTGCTGAGTTTTCCCTGCAAAGGTGAGATGGGATTTGGGGAAACCGAACTAACAACAATACTCTGCAATGAATTCAGAGACAAACAGAAAACAAGATTCTGTCTCTGCTGCAAACACCAGCAATTTTGCACCTAATAGTGGGATCAGAAACTGATCTCCAGGTATTGGGGGGGGGTGGATTTCTGCTCTGGTATAGTTTGGAGTTGAGCGTGTTGTCAGGATTATCCTTTGTGTAACAGCACTTGTCTGGAACTGAGTGAGCTCCGAGGAGTGAAAGAGGAAGCTAAAGCCCCAGTGACATGAAAGCTGCTGCTGTTGGGTAATGAGTGGAGCTGCCATCAGCTCGGGGCTGTGTGTTCTCTGTGTTCCACCAGCTCCTTTCCTCTGCTGGGGTGGGGGTACCAGGAAGTGTTCAGAGTCTCCCGTTTCTTTCATCTTGCATTGTGCTGTTCTCCCTCCTTTATGGGTCGAGCTGTATGTATCTACTTGTGTCAGAGTATTTTTAGGGCTGTAATTGCTTTCTCAGCTAACAGGAATTGATGCAATTACCCTGTTTTTTAAAAATCCTTTTCTCCTGTTCATCTTCCAGTCTGTGCCTTTTCTGCTCTGCTTTCCATCCCCTGGGGAATTGTGAAGGAAATGCAGTGCTGCGCTACAGAAAACTAATCTCCTGGAGGTTATTTATCAGGCACAACTTGTTAACTTTGTTCCTTTTGTGAGGCAAGAATAGAAATGAAACATTTCTTTGGTTAACAAGTAAGAACTTCAGTGTAAGTAAGGGCGAGAGTGTAAGATGCCAGGAAAGCACAGGGCAGATTGAACTGGCAGAAAAACCACTAATCCCTAGCATGGATTTCCAAGTTTGGAGTCAGTTGGTGAAGAGGAGATAACTTTGGGGTCTCCTCACAGGTACTTGGTCCCTGACAGGAGAGGCTGGGCAGAGCCTGGAGGTGATGCTCTTCCATCCTCAGGAACATCCTGTTCCTCGCTTTGGCATTTGATTTTCTGGATGAATCCAGGCAGTCCAGTCTGGAACTGAGGAGCAGCTGAAAGTGCTCTTCTTTCAGGGAATTTCTTCTGGGACTTGTAACAATTGAATAGATAGAAACTTAAATGCAGGAGAAAGGTAGAATTAGCTGGGGATTTGATAGGTAGGAAAGATTGCCGGGCTGGGGGGAAACTGGAGGCTGACCCAATCCAAATCCCCTTCACTCACACGATTCCTGATACCTGACTCATTTCTTGCATATTTGTTCTTTCGTTGTTGATTCCTACCAGTATTCTCCATAGTACACTCTTCCATGGTGGATTTCTCTCTGTCTTGCAGAGGTGAAAGCTTTTTCTTTGCTTAATAGAAGAGAGGGTTTCACAGAGCATTTTGATTTACTTTTATCTGTGTGCTTTAATGTTATGTTTTATAACTTCAAAACCTATTGATTTCTTTTCCCAGTGCCCCCAAAAGAAACAAACAAGTAGGCCATCAGCAGATGAAGTACAAACATGGTTTTTTACTAATGCATCATAAATCACCAGTAATTTTGTTTTCCATTTCTCAGTCAGCCATGATACTGAGTATTGCCAAGAGGCTTCTGGGCCCAGCAGTCCCACCAGGCTTTCTGGGAAATGCATTTCAGTCTCTGCTGTAGGGAGCGTGATGTCAGCAGCATCAAACTGTTTGTTCCTATTGCAGAGCTCAGTGTGACACAATTCAGTTGGTGTTTATGTCCATCATTTCCAGCAAAGATTAAAACAACCTTAAGAAGGGAAACCCCCTCCCAGCAAACTTTGGCAAAGCCAAATCCAAGAATCTCTTGGGTTAAGTATTATTAAACTGATCATGTTTTGAGATAGTAAAAATAACAGAAGGTGCCTCATAATCCATTTGCTTTACATTTGGGTGAGATGGTTTAGTGTGAGGTGTCTCTGTCCATGGCAGGGGGTTGGAACTGGATGATCTTAAGGTCCTTGCCAACCCTAACTATTCTATGACTCTATGATTCTACATCATCACCCAGCAAAACACTCAACTGAGCATCCTGGACCATGGCGTGGTTTCCACTAAGGCACAGTATTGCAGTAACGGTGGTTGTGCTGATAACCCACCCCTGAGGAAGCCAGTCCCCGATCCTTCATCCAAAACCATCAAAAGAGAAACCGGGGAACAACTCAGTCAAAGGGAATTTCCTTACAACTCAAATATAATTGCATATGCGTGGTAGCATATTCATCTCTGTGTTCTTTATATACACATATAGATGCCATTATTATATATTAAATTATAGCTGCCATCTTTAGATACATAAATGTGAATATATTGTACATGTTTATATTTTATAAATTACTTGTTTAATTGTCCATTACCTTTCCATCTGTCAAACACATAAAGAAATAATCAATTCTTAACGTTCTTTGCCACATGAGCTGCTTCAAAGCATTGAATTTCCTTACTGCTATATAATATTCCGAATCAAAGCACCCAGTAAAACTAACAAAGAGTTGAAATAACCAAGGGAGAAACAACTGCAAAGAAACAGCCTGAAAGAAAGAGATTTAGAAACAAAAGAAAGGGGGTGGGAAATGAAGGGAAAGCTGTGGACAACATAAAATATTCACATTGTGAGCAAACAAGGAGACGATGTTTCATGTCTAGAGCTACACAGAAGCGATAGTGGAAACAGATATGCTCCATGTAAATTTATTAAGTGCAACTTTCTCTCTCTCTCTCTCTCTCAGATAAAAAACCTCTTCATGAAATAAAATCCCAAAGTAAGTTATTTTTTTTTTCTCTTGTAAATACGATTTTTCTCATCTTCTCTGCCATCCTGTTTGCTCAGGAGCTGAATAAAGCTGAAGGTTGTGTGAAAGGCTTTCATAGCTACTGACAGCATCTTCTTAGCAACTTTGTGGTGGTAGTTTTAGCCTGAAAATAGTCATTTGTGTCTGAGTGGGAGCTCTTTCTGCGTTGTGCATGGCTTGATGCTGGCCTCTTGCGGGTCTGTAATTAGAAAATGAGAAATTAATACAGGGGTTTGTGCTTTCTTGGTTCCACCACTGGCTCTGAACTTGTTCAGCCCCTTTCAGCGTTTATCAGCTGGTGAAGGGACTTTATCTGCATTGCCCCATAGACAGTTCTCATTTACATGCTGCTGGGGCTTCTCTCCTGCACTTTTTGTTTCTGAGTCTTAGACTGATTTCAGTGGAATTCTAGTTCAGAGCAGCACACTTGGAGTGAACTGACTGAAGGATACGATTTCATCCAACCCACAGTCAGCCTCTGTGCACAGAACAGTGCTTTGTCCTGTCATAAACCCTGGGCAAAGTTTGCAGGATTTCTGACTGTTTAATTTCCAGAAAAAAACACCATCACTGAATTCTGGCAAATGGATTTATCAACACATTCTTGGCCTCATTCCTTTCAAGGTCTTAAATCGACAATCCACCTGTACTGAGAAGTAACACATGCAGTTGTTTGCATTGTCTGAGGTGGGTCCAGCTCCTGGAGCGTAAGAGGTGTTTGAACTGAGCTTAGGAATTGCTGTGGTTTTATCTGCACAGTTCCCATTTAATTAGAGAGTCTTGAAAGAGTATCAGTCCAATCACTTTATTTTCTGATTTATTACAGAAGTAACTTCAGTGGAATTGATTTTCTCATGTAAGAAGCCAGGAGAATTAACGGGTTTGGTTGTAGCTGTGGGGTTAGAGCCATAGAACAGCTTGTTGCTGTTCAGCAGAACAGGACCTTGGTTTAAGAGTGCATGAACTGATGCAAAATCAAAGTCAATTATGAGGATCACTGAGAAACAAACTGTTTTACTAAGTAGCCTCTTGCACAGCTCTCTGGCTTTTGCTCCTTGTTCTCAAGAACTGACTGTGTGAGGGAGCGGGAACCACAATGAGGGACAGGGAAGCAGGGCAGGGTGGGAAGCTGGAAAACCCTTCCTGTTCTTATAGCAAACTCTAATGGCAAACAGGGGATGTATGCCCTGCATAGCTCCTGAAAGCACTTATTGTAAATGAGATAATTTAATCAATTACGTTTCCTAATGTACTAAACCAAATGTTTCATTTTCTGCTCCTGCACATCTTAAATTATCTTCAGGTGCTTTATGAAACTTAATCATAGTTAATAGAAACTTCATTACCATCAAATGTGCTTTCAATAAATGTTGTGTAACAGTGTCAGGAGGTGGAGTGAAATATAGGCTACAATTACCACCGACATGTATCGTGGCACTGGAGTGGCTGAACTCGCGGTGCTCCAGCAGCGTCCCTGCGCCGCTGGCCGGGAGGATGCGCTTCATTACACAGTAATTGGATGACTAGAAATGTTTTCTTTTCTAGTTTGTTTGGTTTTCACTTTGGTCCCTTCTGGGAACAAATGAAAGCAGAAAATGAGCCCGTTCCCCAGTTTGCCATGCTTTGCTTTTGTCTTTAATGTCTGCTCTCCCGCAGAAGGCATTAGCCATTAGATAAGAGAGGAAGGTTGAAGAGATTTGGAATAGCTCTTCCGAGTCTTCTGTGAAACGGAACAATGCCCATTTTATTAAAGATAAGAAAATTCAATCAGAATAATTGTAAGATTTTTTTATAATAACATCCTGTATAGAAAATTATGGAACTGAAGCTTAGGGATACTTCACAGTGTTCACTAAAAGCAAGATTCTCTCCAGAAAGGTTTTGAGTCAAGACTGTTCTCATGTTGAAAGTTCTGTTCTTGCTCTCAGCTTTAACCTGTGTGCGGTTATAAAAGTATGAAACTTAAATTGCCTGACGTCTGAATCAATTGAACAGAAGCAGCCAAGCTATTTATGTAGATTTAGAGTAATAACTTGCACTTACTCACAGGTGAGAACTTGAGGTGTGTTTTATATGCTGGTTCTGATGGCAAGAGATCAATTTTCTACCTGTTGCCATTATGGTGGCAGTAATTTTTTACTGATAGGTTATTTCTGCATGTTTCAGGCTTTATAATTTAGTATCCCACGAAGGTAGAAAAGGCAATTCAAATTTTCAGTACTTTTCTGTTTTAAAGTAATGATCAAAATGAAGAGCTTAAAGAGGCTTTACGGTAAAATAACCACCAGCTCTCAGTGGTTCTGTAGGAAGAAGACTCTCCCACCACATCACATCCCTTCTCTTGGCTTATTCATTGTACTAAATACCCACAAAAATGAAGCCAGCAATAGAGTTTGCAACAACAAAATAGCTTGGGGATAGAAAACTGGAAGAAATAGAAACACAGTCAGTTTCTGTACTTTTTTTTCTGCACCTGATTGTAGAGGATAAACCAGAGGTAAACCAGTATGTGATTGGCACTGGACTGGGATTCAGGTTGGCCTGGTTTGATGTGCGGGATTTCCAGCCCTCCCTTAGGACCCTGTCTTTCTGCATCTCCTTTTCCTGTCTGGTGTAAGGGAATATGGGCATCTCCCACTGTTAGTCCCATACAATTGCCTTGCCAGCTAACAGCTTCCTTTCTGCAATGTCCACCTCTCTGGGATTTTTTCCAACCTTTTACTTCGGGGCAAATGTAATGTTCTAAGTGGGTTAGAGCTGTTACACCTGGCAGAAGTCTTCCCCCAAATACCATGTGAGTTCAGTAGTTGGCTATTTATTATTTCTGTCCATTGTGGTTTATTTACTGATACTGAGGAGTCTGGATTTCCTGGTTATTTCTTGTCTCTGGCTTCTGTTACTAATAAATGCACTTTGTGTACCAAGTGCTTCACACTAGACAGCAGAAGCACCACATACAGGATAAGAGATGATGTATAGGGTTAATCCAGGTTCCTCTCCTCCTCTAAACCAGAGTTTGGCATTAAGGGAACTATCTAAGACAAGTAATGCCAACTAATTTAATTTCATGGTACGTGGTCCCAAATCCCAGAAGATCTCGGATAGTGGGACTGGATAATTCAATTACATAATATTGCAGGTTTCATTTGGATTCACTCAAAGCAATGAGTTCTTTTTCTCTGCTGTAAGTTTCCAGTCTTAGAAAACTTGGTTGTGAGCTTAATGCACGGGTGCCAGCACAGACACGGTTTGGGTTCTAAAGACTGAAGGTCTTTAAGTGGGATCTCCTCAGCCCCTCTGAGCAGTGAGAAATGGACTGTGCCTTCCTGTACTAAAGCTCACATGGAAAAGGAAGAGGGGAGGGAAGGAGAAAGCTGCACAAAGGTTTATCAAGGGATTCATGACCTCCTGGATTAGCTCCAGAACGCAAACTCGGTGATAGAAAGACTCGGCCTTTAAGGGCTGTGATCTCCACATCTATGTCTCAAGCGTCAACTCCCCAGCCTCAGATCACCCCTCTGCTCGCTCCAGCCAGCACCAGGCGGAACGTTCGTGTGTGTGTTGCTGACTTGGCACCTGCTTTTCTCCTTTCAGACATTGAGACTGCCAGTGACATCGCCCTGTACTCTGGCCTGGGAGCCGCAGTCATCGCTGTAGCCGTGCTGGTGGTCGGCGTCACCCTGTACAGGCGGAGTCAGAGTGAGTACGGCGTGGATGTGATTGATTCATCTGCACTGACAGGAGGCTTCCAGACATTTAATTTTAAAACAGTCAGACAAGGTTAGTGGTGTGATTTCATTCTCTTCTCTCCAGAGCTCCTACTGCAAAGAGTTACTAAGCTCATATTCAATGAGTGGTGGTGGGAGGGCGGCTTATTGCTGAGCAGCTGCGCTGAAAGCTGCCGTGCAAGGAACGGGATCTGGTGCTTAGAGCTGTCTCTTACTGTCTGCTGTCTGTCATGGTAACACGGACAAGTGCATAATCTTTCTTGACCAGGCTCTTAAGTGCTTTAGAAATACTGTCACCAGCTTTTACGAGGACATTTGTGACTTAGGAAAAGCCCAAACAAATCAAAACAACCCCAGGAAGCATGTCTGCAGTTCCTTGCCGTTCTATTACAGACCTTCTATTTCCTTTAATCTATTAGAAGTGACAAGTTTTTACTGTTCATTCAAGAAACCCAACTTCAAGTATTTTATGAGCTGCTGTTAACATGCAGATGTCCACATTCTGGGGGGAATAAACACGTACTGATGTGAAAAACAAACTCAGGAAAGCCACCAACACAACGCAACGTGGCAGAAATCCTTATTTTCACTAAAAGCAGCTCTCAGGTGTTCTCTGGGATGTTATTGCCTTTGGACAGAAAGGAAGGGGAGGAATACATGTGGTGATCACTTCCAAAGAGTGTGTTTCTTTAATTCTGTGCTGACATTCTATCACAGAGACCTGCCTTACTGTGGGTATGCTAGTTGGGGGGTGAAACATCCCCGTGTCTCTCCTCTCTTTGGGAAGATGTTGCACAGTTTGGGGGGGGGTCTGTCGTCTTTACACTTGCTTTACTTTCTGGGAGACGTTCCCCACCAGGCACGTACTGCAAGAGACTGGATAAAGGGAGACAAGGATGTTTGAAGGATGTTTACTCACTAATTTAAAACCTCAAGCCTTTAATTAGTCATGTAATTCCCAGCGACTGTCTCAAATAGTGACTTTTTCCTTTTAAAGCCTGGTTTTGAGTCTGGGGAATTGTTTGTTTGACTTAATGCTTCAAAGACATTCGTTCTGGATGCTCTAAAATACCTGACTGCGGCAGTTGCTCATATGCCAGGATGTGATTAGTTCAGTGCCAGGTACTCTGGGCTCTCTGTCTTGGTGGGAGGTTTAAAGAAGAGCATTTGTGAACTAAACAGTTCAGGTGGAAAAAGGCCAGTTCTCAGGATTTGCTGAGAAAAGGGAGCACATTCCTGACATATGGACAACACACCAGTGTGATCCACATTCTAGTCTCTGCAGAAATGTATTTCTAATGTTAGCAACCCAACCTGCAGCCCCTTACTAAAAACCAAAGAACCACCAAAAAAACCTTAACAAAAAAGGACCAAACCAGCCAAAAACTTCAGACCTCAAATCTATCCTTTCCTTCTCTTTTTTTCAGAGGATTTTCTGAGCTAAAGTGCTTCTAAATGAGTAACTCTGGTGTTTTCTTCATACATTACTCTTGTCCCACTTCCTCGTCAACCCACTTCCCCTCACACATGAAGTTGGCATTCACAGTAAAGGTCTGCAGGTAGACAGAGAGCAAACAGGCATTCACACAAACCTGAATCCCAAACAAAGGGGGAATTCCTTTTGGATTCCTGCACTCTGGAGCTGCCTCAAGTGCAGCAGACACAGTGGTCAGAGGACTTGTTAGATCTGTGGCACCATTTTATCCGTTCTTTAACATCAGCTTACGTGATTTTTTGAGCTCTGAGGGTATCAGGAAGGAAGAGCAAGTCTTTGATTGAGATTTCTCTCTACCACCTTGACACTAACTCTGGGTCTGGTTCCTCCCAGGTAATTCCCTGCTTTTGAACTCATCCATGCAGCCCGACCTGACGGTGAGCAGAACATACAGCGGGCCCATCTGCCTGCAGGACCCCATAGACAAGGAGCTGATGACAGAGTCTTCACTGTTCAACCCGCTGTCAGACATCAAAGTCAAAGTTCAGAGTTCATTCATGGTGTCCTTAGGGGTGACAGAGAGAGCCGAGTACCATGGAAAGGCGCATTCTGGGACTTTTCCTCATGGGAATAACAGAGCTTTTGGTACAATACAGGCTAGAAACAAGGCTACGTACATTCAGAACCTGTCTTCTATTTCAACCACAAGTGAACTGAAGACAACTGCCATTTTTGGACACCTGGGAGGCCGTCTAGTGGTTCCAAACACAGGTGGGTAGATCCTTTCTCATTGAAAGCATATAGAATAATTTTAGATCAAACTTACTTTGCCTGATGGAGCGTTCTATAAGTAGATAAAAGAAAGGAAAGAAAAAGGGGCTCTCTTAATGCAAATTTTGGGAAGTAGAGCATGTTGCCCACACAGGAGATGACTGATCAGAAGAAAGCTTGTGATGAGTAGTAAAGAGGCATTATGCCTATTTGAACTGTTATAAATTACTGCCTCTCTTGATGTTTTCAGCATGAAAGTCATATTAATCAAAGCTGTTGCTTACTTGGATCCTGATCCAAAAGAAGGGCTCCCCAGGAAGGAGATCGATACTGGATCAGCATCTTATATAATGGGGTCATATTCAAAGCAGAACCTACAGCATCAACATCTGACTGTGTTAACATTGTCAGACTTCATTATGTGACTGAAGGCTGCAGCATATAACAAACAGCCATCCCTGGAGATCGGCTTCCTCTCTCCGAGAGGACTCCAGCGTGCCTTTCGTTAGCATTTGCCCCTGGCTTTCTGGGTTTCTCTTGCTTTTAGCCTAAGAGCAAGACAGATTCCCAGGGTGGGGCACTTCGAAGTCAGCTGCAGTTCAGGACTGGGCTGTGCACCGACACATCGCAGCGGAGCTGCTCAATTTGCATTAAGAAGGAGAGTTTGTTTTGTGACTTCAGAGTTCCGTGGGATGAACTTCAGACTGAAGAAGTTGTTAAATTAGCTGAAAACATACGGCACCAAATTAGAATCAGATCAAGGATGTTAAAAATCCTGGCCCTGCAGTATGTTGCACTACATCATCATGTTCATATTATGCTGAATGAAATTCCTTATGTTGGATACTCTTGCATCAGCTGTTTCAGCCTTAAGGAAACAGCTGATGGTAGCTTTTGTTTCCACAGATTATTCCCTTTCTAAGTGGTGAAGTAGACAAAGATGTCTGCCTGTACCTGAGGATGCAGAGCAGCCTTCAGCCACAGCCGGTGTCACTCAGGGACACAGAACAAAGGGAATGCGAATCCAGTGTGAATCCAGTGTCACTCAGGGACACAGAACAAAGGGAATTCACCTGTTTAAGAGCTCTGTTGGAGCAAGAAGTTTTTAGGCATGAGGGTCTATATGATTCTAGATAATTCCAGGCTCTAAAACAGTTAAATTAATAACTAAATTAATAACTATGTGGTTCCTTTCATCTGATACAATGTTGTAGCAGAACCACTATTTCAGAGGAGCATTCCTCTGCTCCCGCAGTTGGCCTTTGTAAGTGTTGTAAATCAGAGGCCAGCTGTGCACTGCTCTTTACCTCCAGAGCCTTTCCCAAAGGTAAGCTCTGGCTTTGCTCTTTTGTAGGAGTCAGTTTGCTGATACCACATGGAGCAATTCCCGAGGAGAGTTCATGGGAAATCTACCTTGCCATCACTCAAAAGGAATCCAGGTAAGAAGGACATAAAAATATCACACACATGCACACACACCCCCTTGTTCCACCATCAGGTCTCTGGTGCAGATGCTCATGATTACTCTCCCATTGGGAGAGTAAATACTGAAAGGCAAATACTAAATTCTTCCCTGAAATTCACTGCATCCAGAGAAAAAGAAAGGAGGGTACTTGTCATAGTTTCCTCTTCACTTCTCCAGTTAACCTTCACAGTATTCCAGCATGGAATTGGGTATATTAAATGCTGGCATTTGGTAATGTTTTCTTTTCCTGCCTTGCCTAATAAATGGCTCAGAACTGCATGAGAGTCTTAATGCCATGTCACTTATTACACAGAGATGACTCTTGCTACTTGCAACAAGTGTGAGAGTTCATCTAATTAACCAATTTCAGTTCATTTGGCATTAAATAATTCCCAGAACTCCCATATGTTTGTCCAATATGTTCTACAAGGGGAAGGATCCTTTAAAGGGATTAAATCGCTCCTTTCAGCCTGGCCCATCATCGGTCACTCACACACCCTGCTGCTGATGCTGCCTGTGGAGTCAGTGGTGACAGAGCGGCCCTGGCACTTTCCCGAACTTAGGGAAAAATAAAGATGTATAAAAGTTGGCTCGAGGGTTTCTAATTTGGAGACATTTGTCTTTGTATTTGATATTTAAGAAATGATGAGTTCTTAAATAAGCTGTAAGGAGGTGATTTAGGGTAACTGCTGTAGGGGTTTATTTTAAGGCAATCAAATACCATTTGTAAAGGGTAGCAGTGGTTGAGGTTAAGTGATGGGGTTCTGTGTTTCCCTAGCAATGCAGGAGTTGTGAAAAACTGTTTGTTATTCCTAGATACAAACAGAAGCAGGTAGCATTCTGCTTCAACTCTTCGCTCTGAGTACTCATTCAGGGATCAGGTCAACAGATCTTGGGCATCTGTAAAGGCAGTGGGGCTGCTGCCGAGATGCTCTGTTGTGGCTCTTGTTCTCACTCCAGTCTTCACCTCATAAATACTTGCACGTGTAGTCTATAGTACACTGAGATTGTTAGAACTTTTCAAGTCTTCAGCAAGAGTGGTGGGGCTTAAGTGCACTTCTAAGCTCCTGCTACTGCAGTTAGAGTGCGGATGCTATCCCAAGGTGAGGTGAGAGATGTGCAAAGTCAATTTGCAGGATTGGAATCTGATTGATTTAAGAGCAGGCCAACACCTAAGTGTGCCTACATGAGAGCTACATTCACTTAGAGCTGTTATCCAAGGTGGTTTGGGTCACCCGGGTTTTAATGTGATAGCCACGGAGAGCTCAGGCAGGGGAGGGGTTTGGCTGTTGCTCTGTTGCTATTGTAAAGCTCTGAAGGGTAAAGTTGTTGTTAGCTTGAGATGTGACAGGGGTATTATATCCTGATTTTTAGGGAGGGTTTTTTCCCTTATTTCAAGCTTGATTTTAATATTGTATCTTATTTATATCTTGGTTGAGGTTATTGTCCTTATTTTTATCTTGGAAACACCATTTACTTCGTTTTTAACCCAAAACCAACAGGGCGAGATGCTTCAGTTGCTTGGTTTAATGCGTGCACGTCACCCAGTTTGTCACTGGTTCTGCACAGGTATTTAGTGTAAGGGGTACAGAAACACATTTAATGTGGGATGGGGTTGAATTTAGATTGGAATGAAAGAAAAGAAATGCTTCTTGTGGGGTACTTCATCTTTCTAACTTAGCCAGCAGTTAATGTGACCAACCACAGGTGATTATAGTTGGATGAGATGAATCCCCAGACTTAATCGTGGTGATGGGCACTCCATGTGCTGTGGTGGAGCCCGTGTGCACAAATCTACTTCCAGAGCTCAAGGTTTCAGCAGAGCAGTCCCATCCCTCCCAGCTGCTGTAGGTTGCACCGAGCTTGTTCTTGCTGCAGGATAGGAATGTGTTTGCAAAGCAGGGAGATCACGCTCAATCTGGGAGAATGCATCAGACTGTGTTTTTAAACCATAATTTGTTTTATCTTCACTACTGTGAAAATATTGTTGATGACAGGCTTTGAAGGCAGAATTAGATGGTAATACTACCAGCTGGTGCATAAAGCAGGGCTGACTTGCACACAGCAATTTGAGTGGTGGATTTGGTTTCAGCAAATTGAAATGTGATTTTTAAAGACCAGAATCCTAAAGTGACCAGCCAACAATCTGAGTTAGATGTGGCCTAATGGTTCTGTTTCATCTCCAGCTACTGCTTCTACATGAGAATTAGCACAGTAATTGGATTCTTATCCTTAGATGTAATAGACGAGGGAGGGACTTAGGGGTTTAACTAAAATCCTTTAAACTTTGCAGTTCAGTTCACTTCTCCTTATTAAAATTGCCTGACAGACGTTATTGTCCTTCTCCCCCCCAAGCCTAGAGCCAGAGGGCACGGATGTTCTTCTAGGGCCAGAAGTCACGTGCGGGCCCTCAGAGGTGGCTGTGAGCACCCCCTTTGCCCTGACCATACCGCACTGCGCACAGGTCAATTCGGAGCACTGGAACATTCACCTGAAGAAACGCACACAGCAAGGAAAATGGGAGGTAAGTTCAGACCTCCCTCACTCTTAAAAGGTGCTAATGGTGGACGCAGGGTCGCTCCTACAGGCACAGATTATGTGACAGAAACAGACAACTTGAAAAAGAGGGAGATTTTGCATATTGTTAAGCAGCAGCTAAACTGGTTTCAGCCATTTCACTCAGGTGTGCAGAACACTTAATGGGCTATCCCGTATGACAGGAGACAGTCTGGTTTCTCAGATCACTTAACAGTGGAGCCAGTCAATCAGTCTATTGTTTTGATAGATCACAGCTCCCACAGAGCCTCATGACACAACAGATCATTATATCCAGGAATTTATCATGACATAAAGTTATGGAACTGGTTAAAAATACACACTTTGTATACATGTCATTTCTTTTTAACCTAGAAGGTTAAAAATCTTGTCTCTCTACATGTCATTTTAATGGGCATTCAGTGGCCACGCTGTGCTCACAACCTCTGAAGGATTAGTGTACTTGCAATGAAATATTTTGCTTTTTTAGTTGAACATGTATTTTCTAGTCCGGATTTACTGGGAAATTAAGCTTTGGGCATTTGTGACATGGGCATCTGATCATTTGGGTCTGTCCACCTGCATACTTTGAAACTGCGTGCTGGGCAGCAGTCTCCATCACTGCTGCATCCTCCTGCATCATTTGCAAGGACAGCCTACTAATAATATTCCTGAAGGGACAGCTAAAGCATGAAACAGACTGTTGTTCACCATTACAAAAATCCACACAGGACAGAAAGGTGCTGAATTTCCCAGCTATGAAGTGTTCACTGTACACAGTGGAACCCCAGAACTCAGTAATGAGACACAAATCCATAGTTGATCAGATTTTAGTGCACTGCTGCTGATGGACCTGCCTGGTTCTTTGCAGTGTAAGGGGGAAAACAGTAGTTAACACAGTCCCAGGTACCATAACTCACTTCAGAGAAGGAAGAGGATAAAGCACTATGATGTTTGCTGCTCCCATTTAAACCACTGCAAGTTCAGCTTAGGTTTCCTACTTTAAATGCATTCAGTACTTAGTCAGCTCCATTGTGTTGGTTACAAACACCCTGGAATGAATAAGGAGCAGAACACCAGGCTGCAAACCACGCAAAAGCTCATCTAATGATGTCGTAATGCAGAATCAAGAGTAGTTTTTAGATACAAATAACATAACTGTAATGCATGCTCTGAAAGGAAGTCAAATACCAACAAGTAAATACCAAATACCAGTAAGCAAACCAAATTCAAGGTTTGCTTATTGACATTAGGGGAAAAATTAGCTAGCAAGTCAAGAGCACTTGAAAAAAGATGCTAAAATTGCTTACACATCATCATTATTATTAGCTGCTGTACACACTGAGTTCTGCACAGAGCGTTGCCATAAATCCTCATGCTGACTCAGGGCTGAGCTGGGAGTATTTACTCACCTTCTCCCTTTCCCTGAGGTTAACACGAGTAGAGAGTTTGCAGACTGGCCCTCAGAAATGCTTTATGTTCTAGTTGAGTGAAACTAAATAATGTTGTGACTCCTGTTGTCAAGGCCTATTGGTTTTATTATTATACTTTATTTTTAAACCTGAATTTCATTTTGCAGGAAGTGATGTCTGTGGAAGAGGAAACTACTTCTTGCTACTGCCTGTTGGATCCTTATGCCTGTCACATTCTCTTAAACAGCTTTGGAACTTATGCTCTTATTGGAGAACCGATCTCTGACTGTGCCGTTCGACAGCTGAAAGTCGCCGTTTTTGGCTGCCTGTCTTGCAATTCTCTGGATTACAATCTGAGAGTGTATTGCATGGATAACACACCTTGTGCGTTTCAGGTAAACGGTTTCCCTTTACTAACTTGCTTTTATTTGTCTTCCATAGAGTATTAACATTCCTTGATTCCTGGGGACAATCCCTGGGCTCAAATGGATGGGAATACTGTACTTTTTTATGCCACTGCTGCATGATTTGGAGTAAGTCCCTTAATTTCTCTGCACTGTTGTCTGACTTGTGGATTTATGCTGCAAGAGCTGCAGAACAGCCACACTGTCCTTTCGTTGTTGGGCAGGTAGAGGGAACTCCACTTTGTCCCCATTCCACAGTAACCAGAAGCCACGTAGCCATGGGTAACACAGCACAAAGCTACAGCTGATAAGCAGAGGGTTAGGTTGAGCTCAGTGCCTTGGCTCTGCGTGGCCCAGGCAGACCTGACTTGCATCTGAAGCTGAGTGCTCCTGCACTACACGAAGACATTGTAAGTCTTTACCACATCCTGTATAGTATTTATCACCTTTACACTCTCATTAGTCAGTACAGGATTTCCTCTCCTGTTTAAAATTTGAGCAAGAAGAAAGAGATTCCCCCCCCCCATCTCTTTAAACAAAAATTCAATTACAATTGTATGTTTCCCCTTTAAAAAAAAGCCCAAAAACACAACACAAAACCCCACAAAACAATTCCCGAGTGGCAATGAAAACTAACAAGATATTTCTGCATGGTGTTCCAGGATAAAACAATGCCATTCACTGGCTTTTGCAGCCTTAGGAAACTCAGAAGCTTTAACAAAATGGTTTTCTTTTGGGAGCTGAAATGAAGACAGTTGTGACAGATGAATTTCTGCTTCCCCTTCCTATCATACAGAATAGAAACATGAATCTTAATGAAGCAAGCACTAATGTCTGTGTGCCTCTAATAAAAGCAAAGCCACTGAAAGCATTGTTAAAGCCTTACAATAGCTTTGTAATTATACCCTTTGTAACACTTACACAATTCGTGGGCTACTCGTGTTTTGCTGGAGGAGCCTGTAGAAAATTGTTAGAAGAATAATTACCAGATTGCCACATTCACAGAAATCAGAAGAGGGTGTTTGTACATAATGAGACAAGTGTGTATTTATTAAATTATACTTCCCTTAAACACAAGCAACACTTCGTCTGGTGTAAATGTGAAGGAAGTGGTGAATGTGGAAAATACCCATTTCTTTTGGCTTAAAAAATCCAAGTTGGGAATACCACGTTTGGTCTGGCTAAAATACCAGGTGATTTTTCACTTTGTCCCTGTGTGAACACTTCTCCAAGAGACAACTTTGTCCTTTATGTAATTCCTAGTGTGTTGGTAACCTCTTGGCTTACCAAATCCTTTGTCTGTTGCCGATGCTCATGGAGTTCAGGACCACATGCATTAGTAAAGGTGGAGCAGTATTTATAGAACTACAGGACATTAAAAAAAGAATTCCAACACATTCAGGGAATTCTGAGAAACAGTGATGAAATAATAAACGCCCTTTGCAGCTGGAAATTAAAACCTAAAGTCTCCTTATTCCTTCCTTCCTATAAACCCAGCCACCAGGAGTTAAACCGCGCTGAATGCCTGTAAATTGGGCTATAATGGAAATCCATTATTACAGTTTCACAAAGCTCCAGCAGTCATTATATTTTCAGAAGGTCGCAGTGATTCCAGTAGCTCTTCTAACAGTCCCTTTGCTACTGAGGAGCACCAAACCTCATGGATGTACCCAGATTTTGTATACTCTATGTGCATAAACCGTATTTTGGTCATTTTGGAAGAGTGCTCACTAGCTGATTTGTAAAGATGTCTGCAAGCTTCCCTCCCTCATTGGTGTCCTTGCTGAACACTACAGGAATAAACATGGTGCAAGTACAGGCAGGGGTGACTTTTTACTGTTCGGTTTTAAATTCACAGGTCTATAAAAGCTGAGGTTGGAGCAGACCTCTAGAGGGCTGTAGCGCAAATCCCTGCTCAGAGTCAGCCCTTGCAGCATCACTCAGGGTCTTGTCCAGTTACTATGAAAACGTCCAAGCAAGGAGAAACGAACGTGAACATTTTGTCTCTCATGTACACTTGCTGTAGGCCTTTCAGTGCTCTCCAAAGTCCTGAGAGCACTGTCCCACCAAAGCTGCTGCTGATTTAATCTGTAACTGAGTAGACCACTCACCAGGCATGCCTGAGGTTCTCACGCTTCCTTTTAGCCCATTGAGTAAATACCTTACTGAGCTTCTTATGTCAGGTTTAAGGAACACTACACAAAACCCGTGGGGGTTTTTTATCCCAAAGCTTAATTAAAGCACCAAGGACAGAATAGAAAATGGACTAATTACAGCGTTGTCACGGTTTAACCAGTTTTCATTTTCCTCTTTGGAGGGAAACAGCTTTACCTGGAAATGGGCTGTCGTAGTCTTGTTTCCCCTTCCACGTTGATGTTAGAGAGCTCTCCGGTAACAAACTGCTGGCAAACTTCTCCTTTGTAGTAGGGATCCTGCGGGATGCAATAAAATAATAACAGTCAAACATGAGTAACTTTCAATAAAAAAACTGGCTAACTTTGGCCTGAAACCCCTAAACATGACAACAGCTACCAATGCACTGCAATACCCGAGTTTCCTTCTCAGGTTCTGCTCTCCAAGCATGACGTTCTTGGGTAGTGATGCCGAGGCAGCCAACAAGACAGTTCAGTGTCACAGGTGCTTCATTACACACAGGGACATAGAACTGACACTGCTGACCATCCTTCTGACTCCAGTGGTGAAATGCCAGTGTCCATCAGCTGCCCCAAGAGAAAATCCCGCATGTACCCCTATGGCTGTAGGTGAATGAGGCCCCTTTCATAAAGATGAATTTTCATTAGATTTGGTATTTGTTCCTAATCCTGAAAAAAAATTCCTTCCTCCTCTGCCATTGCAGGAAGTGGTTTCAGATGAAAAACTCCAAGGAGGACAATTACTGGAGGAACCCAAACTTTTGCATTTCAAAGGGAATACCTTCAGTCTGCAGATATCTGTCCTCGATATCCCTCCGTTCCTTTGGAGGATTAAACCATTTACTGCATGTCAGGTACGTGTCCATTTTCTCTGCTCACATTTGAAGTTCAGAGGGAGTCAGAATTTTGACATGACCCAAATAAGATGATGTTCCCTTCCGCTTTTGCAAGGAGTGGGTTTAATCTCTTGAGTGTGCAACAAGAAAGCATCGCCTTCGGATTTTGACAAACACAGATTTCATGTACAACAGAATGCTTTAAGTGTTTCTCACTTCACAAACATGCAAGCTTGTACTTCCTCTCATTTCAATCACCTCCGATGGAAGGCCTATGTTCTTGTTAAATTTATCACTCAGGATGGTTTTGATATCGTTGTCAGTCTAACTTCAAGATAACTATGAATATATGGCTGAAAGGAACATTCAAATTGAACAGTTAAATGTCGTGAGTTCAAAGAGCGGCGCATGTATGCTAAGAATTAAAACTGAGAGCATATTTTTTCTGTACTACATCAATGAAAGAGGCTGTTGAAAACAGGAAACGAAAAATCAAAACAAAATAACAATTTCTAAGTAGATGGTTCCTGAAAATGACAAGTGATGTGCTGGCACATAAAGTGGGTTAGTCTGTTAAAATACAGAACTCCGTTAGACTCATCTCCCTTTTCCCAGCAGCACAGAGACAGACAGCTCTATATCATCCACTGTCTTGGCAAAAAAGTGGTTTTAAATGTACTACCATGTTCTCCAGAACGGCTCTAGGACAGGCAGAGGATGCCCAGATGACTGTGCTCAGTGCAGGGCCTGTTCTCTCAGCAGCCACTGAGGGTTGAAAGCAGCATGTGCAAAACCTCTGCTCACACACAGGCTGACTCAGGGCTGATACTGGAGCCAGGTATTTACATGTGATAACTGAGTAGAGTTCAGGTGACTGGGGAGAGCTGAGAAATAGAACGGTTGTTTCTAACAGAAACTACAGAACTGCTTACACTGGTTTGTATTTCCCTCCCTGTGCAGTGGCCCATTTCTTTTGACAGCTCTGATTTGGTTCCAGCCTTTTGATATATAGAAGAATCTCTTTTCTCCATGTGGAGTTTCTTCCCGTGTATGCTTGTTTTCTCTCCTACATACCACACTTCTTTTTAAAGCTTGATGTAGGAGCTGGCTGTTCTGGTTGTCAAGAACAGCTGAAAAGAGCCTGTTCCATAACTGTCTATTGGATCCCCCAAATGAAACCATGATCAGATGGTACAATGAGGGAAGATGTGTGTTAATGATTTCTCAGATAAGTAAAGATCCTGCTGCAGGGCTTGAGCAGATGAATAAAACTGGTAAAAGCAGTTAATGGCAGGTGGGAGTCAGGATTTCTCCAGCCTATACTAAGTGCCTTTGTTTGTCCTGGCCATCCTGTTGGAGCAGATGCCAAGTGCCTGGCATCCTGCCTGACACCCTTCCCACCCTGCTCACAACTAACTAGGGGAAACCCTTAAAACCTGGCTCAGTGTTAGAGCAGGAAGAGGCTGTGATAAGCATGTGAAGAAGCCAAAGGGGCACCTTTGGGGGCTGGCAGCAGCTGTCCTCCTGGTGGTTTGTGTCTCTTGGAGGATCCAGCATCTCTCTGTAGCTATGAGATGATTTACGTGCCCTCTCTCTGCTAGGAACATCATTGTAAAGGGAGATTAAAACTGAAAGCATTTCTGGAATACCTGAAACATTCCTCATCCCACCCTGCTTTGCCCACCCTGTGTTATATTTCCTGTGGTTCTCAGCTGAGTGACTCTTCCACTCTGAATGAAAGCAGAGATGATTACTCTGGAAAAATCTAATTACAGTTGCTCCACTTCTAATATTTTGCTAATGTTTTCTTTATCACTGTTGGTATCTTGCTGCTGCTGCCAGCTCAGGATCTAACCACAGAGCTTATCACTGTCGCTTAGCACGTCATTACAGATAGCCTGAGACACACAGAAGAAGCAGTAAACTGCAGATCAGCTACCAGTACAACTCTATCCTCCCTTGTTTAATCTTGTCTCTGAAGCGGAGGGTGAGGCTGGTCTGTGGAGCTGTGTTATCCCCACATCACCAGTGCACAGCTCATGTCTTCAGGGACACAAAGACTGTAACCTAAATCAAGAAAAAACTGCTTATAGGAAAGCAAGGATGGTGAGCTTCCACATGGAAACTGATCATAAGGACTGCGTGCATGGTTTACTCGATTTAACCAGCTGAGTGTGACAAGTGACTAGTTGGTCTCTCAGTTGTAACTATCAATGTTAAATACTGAAGGAATGTGAAACTCTTTAAACTAGCTTTCTCGTGTTACAGTTGTTGCTCACTGAAGCTGTTTGATGCTGTCCTGTAATCATATGGATGAATGCTAAAACACAGTAGAATGAAATACTAGTAGCGGTCTTTTTCTCCCTTTTTCCATCAGTCTCCAGGTTGCCACTTCTGCAGGATTTTTCAGTATTTTGGAATTAATAGAGATGTTTGATTTAACTGTTTTTGCTACTTACATGCCTTCATGACTACGTGTAGAAAACCAAAGTGGGTTTATAGCTGGTGTTAGTTTGGAAATTAAGTGTTTTGAAAGCATAAAGAGAGGAGACCAGAAAGAGAACTTTGGTATTTACAAAGTGATCATAACCTAGAAGTTAGCTGCCCCTATGTACTTCTCCTATTTCCATACATTTTTAGGAACCCAAAGCAACCAGAGATGCCAGAAATCTCTGATGATTAATTCCTGCAGTTCTGTCTAGCATTTGATGAGGGCATCCATCCCATAAAGTGTCCTTGGCTGAAGTAGAGGAGTCACTGAAAGTAGTCACAGAATAAAACAGGATGATACTAAGAAGTAAACCAGACTGAGCACTGGTGTGCACTGGGCTGCACGTGGCTACCCAGGCAAGTGGGTGTGTTTAAATACAGATGGAACATAAATACAGAAGACATCCTATCCTGCTCCGTGCTGCATGAGTTACAGAGGAGGTACAGTTCTTGATGGGAACATACTGTATTTGGATTCTGTAGTACAGGGTGATAGCAAGGAGACACAAATCAGAGTAAGAAAGAGTTCTGATCCCTGCCCAGGAGTAAGTGCATCTTAAGTTTCACTTTAAATGAGAGTGTCTCATCATCTGTGTCACTGAACGGAATATCAGCTCTGAGTAAATGTAACCCCCAGTATTTATCAGCTGAATCACCATTTGATAGCTTTGTCCTGCTCTGAGCTTGCAGCGTGTCAGTAAACACACAACTGCACAGAAAAGAAGGGTTTTGTTCCTGTGTTGTGATGGTCTCCCCTTCTCTCTCCCCACCCCCGTTCCCATGGGATACGTCTCCCTCAGGAGGTGCCGTTCTCCCGTGTGTGGTGCAGCAGCCCCAAGCCTCTGCACTGCGCCTTCTCCCTGGAGCGCTACAGCCCCGCCACCACGCAGCTGGCCTGCAAGGTCTGCGTGCGGCAAGTCAAGGGCCACGAGCAGGTCCTGCAGATCCAGACCTCCATTCTAGAGGTAAAGCATCCTCTCTCCTGTTTGCCTTGCGAGACCCCATCCCTCCCCATTTTGTCCTTTCTATCCCTGTGTGCTTTATCTCCCGTTCAAAACTATTCCCATGTATATAAAGCCATGCAGATTCTTCCATTAGAAATCAAAGCACTAGAGATTCTGCAATTCTACTACTGCTACTCTACACTGGAGATTCTACAATTCTAAAAGTAATTTATATTCAAATTGGCGACAACAGTTTTCTTGCAAAAGGTTTTGAAGAGTTTGCAGAGCACCCAGAGGTGACAATGATGGGTTGTGTGCTGTCTGGCCACTTCCTGTTCCCCTGTTACAGCGTGCTGGGTACAGCCTGTCTGGACTGCAGCTTTGCTCACAGGGGAAAGGTACCAGACTCAAACAAGCTGGGGACGTGGCCTACAGCAAAGAAAACTTTAGCTCCTTCTTTTAAATTATTGAGCCTTTTTGTTGATTAATCCAAACTAAAACTTCTGGATTAAAGGTGCATGCCCATTGCCAAATGCACCATGCAGGGAATGCAGCAACTAAGGAAGAAACCCTCAACCACCTTTTTCTGTATGAGACCATCCTTAGAATACAGCCACGTTCATTACTGTTACTTCATAAAATACTTCCATCATTCTATAGCTATCTCAGTAGTACAATGTTGCTGTTGCCATTACTTTTTCCTCCCTGTCTGTCCTTAAGTCTCCGGAGCTACAGCTCTGCTCTCACAGAGATCTGCTGGATGGAGGCTTTCTCGTGCCCATCTCAAAAAGTGCTCGAGGAGTGAGGAGAATTTGACTGTAGAATAAATAGAGAAATAACAACTGAATACTTGAATTACTCCTTGCTTTACAATTCCCTGAACTAACCAGGTAGCCGTAGCTTATCTCATATGTGCAGGGTATGAAAATTTACTACTGTTCTGCATAGTTAATTTAAACCAGTCAGACCATGGGATAGATCTACAGCACTATTACTCTGCATGGATGGCTTTGGGGAGGTGTCATAAATGTTGTATGAAGAGACTATAGCATCGTTGTTGTTCAGTATTTATGCTGCATTTCACTGCAATGAGTAACGCATGGAAATGTGCCTCCGTTAAACAAGACTATCGTTTCATAGGAGAAGGATGGGCCAGACCTGGCTTCCCAGGAGATTTCTAATAGGGAAAAACAGGTACTTACAGAATTTAGGTATTTAAAAAAAAAAAAAGACCACAAATGAGATATTTGTGTCCATCTTTTAGGCTGTCTCAGTTCCCCATTTCTAAGCAAGAGTCTCTGGTATAACTCCTAGTGTTACTCTTCGTAGTTTGCCTGAGAGCTGCCTACAGACCAAGGTGGACAGAAGGGTGATGCCCTCACTAACTGTTTTGCTGTTGTATTCCTCGCAGAATGAAAGAGAAACCATCACTTTCTTTGCACATGATGACAGCAACTTTCCCGCACAGATGGGCCCAAAAGCATTTAAAATCCCCTACTCCATCAGGCAGCGGATCTGTGCAACGTTTGACACACCCAATGCCAAAGGCAAAGACTGGCAGATGTTAGCACAAAAGAACAGCATTAACAGGTAACAAAAGACACTTTGGAAGATGAACGTTTACATGTGCAGTGGGAATAATCTGCTGCTGTTCTGGGTTTTTTGTTTGCTTGCTGGTATTAAAGATGTGAACACAGCGATTATGGTCCTTAGGCTCAAGGATAAGCTCTAGTTCATACAGTCTTTTAAATATGACAAGCTGCTGAAACCAGGAACTGCTTTATCTGAACGCTACCCGAGGTTTGCTTCCAAGGTCAGGTTCTTTGTTGTGGACCAGACCTCCTCTTCATTGACCCACAGGAATGGGGTCTTGGTACAGCACAAACTAGAGGACTTTGGCACTGCTGTGTAAAGCAGTGCTTTAAAGGACTTAGGAGGGTACATGTTCTCTGAGGAAAATCATCTGTCCTGTTGCCTTGGCTTCTAGCTATCTATTTTGTATTCTAAAATGAATTACTCATTTTGCAGGTTTCAGGGTTTGTTTTGTTGTGGTTTTTTTTCCTTAGTAAAAGGCATATTTAAAAAAGAAAGTCATGCTCTACTGTTGGGAATAATAATGTTATGATTATTAAAACTGAAGGATGCTGTAAAAACTAATTTACTACTTAGCCAAGCGGAATTAAATTGGTGGAGGCAGTTCACTCACAGAAATATTTTGTGACTGTCACAACCACCATAAATATGTTCCCAAGAGGGCAGAGGAATACTTCAGTCAGGCAAAATAACTTTTCAGTGGTGCCTTGTTTTGCCTGGGAATCTCAATAAACCACATCTGAACTAAAGAAAACAGAGATTTGTAGTCTTGCAGCACTGAGAGAATCACAAAGTTCTGCTTTACTTACCAGTGTTTACTACCACTGCCAGGCACTATCATCTCCCTTGTTCCCACTCCTCATGGAGGAGGTTTCTCTTCCTCAGGAGGCTGAGAGACCGCTTACTGAGGAGGCTACAGTGACTGTGTAAGACCAGACTGGTGATAACCTGTTATCTGTTGGTTCTGCGGTGGGGACGCCTGCTGTAGGGTCTTTGCAGTATCTAGCTTGCTAAAATCAAATTCACAGGTAGAAAAAGGAAGTTGTTGAGCAGCTGAAACAACCCAGATGGTGGGGCATGAACACCTGACCGCATCGATTCCCACAGATCTGCTGTACAGCGTAATCCATAATATTTCCCCATCTATTTCACAACACAGGCCACTGCTGTAGCGGTAGTTCTGCTGAAGTCAAGGTGTTACTTGGCAAGAGCAACAGCCTGGCTTCAGCTCCTCAGGGTAGACAGGAATCTGTTCTGGCAATGCACTGGAACGATTCCTATCGTGGCTATAAGGAACTTCTTCAACATTGGAATTGCACTACACATACACACACTATTCCCTGTATGTTCCCTTTCAATCTCCAATAGGGATGAATGTTCAGAGGGAAGGGAATTAGGGAAGCCCGAGGAAAAAAATGGTTTCTGCCTGATTTTGACTGATGAGAACAGTACAGAAATAGTCAGTAATAAATATTTAATTATCTTGGAGCTGGCTTAAAAAGCCAGACATTGAAGTCCAAATTCCCTTTTCTGTGCTATAGGTTTATCTGTTTCTTCCCATATTTATAGATCCGTATCTTAATGTAATACAAATGCATAATAACGTTTATGCTTGTGAATAGATAATGTATTTATTCAGATCATCATGTCCAAAGCCCATAAATAAAAGGAGTTAGGAGGTACTGTGTTTAAGATACTTGTTTTACCAAATTCTTTGCAAATATCACCCCTGCAAAGTCCTAAAAACTACACATTAATCAAATACAAATTCACAAATTAAAAGATGTCATGTCTTCATAATCACAAGCATCAATTTAAGTAAGCGACATAATTCCTCTCCCTCACTGTTTTTGGGTTTTAAGCACATTGACAGTGCTAGGCCCCAGAGCGCTTTTACGTTCATGGTACCTACAGTCTATACTGCTCCTCATCCTCTCTGTTTCACCTTTTTCTCCCCTCCTATTAGGAATCTCTCCTATTTCGCTACACAAAGCAGTCCATCTGCTGTCATTCTGGACCTCTGGGAAGCCCGACATCAACACGATGGTGACCTTGACTCCCTAGCCTGTGCCCTGGAAGAAATAGGAAGGACACACTCCAAAATCTCGGACATAACAGAAACTGAGGTTGAGGAGCCCGACTTCAACTACAGCAGGCAAAACGGACTTTAGTCACTCTCTCCATTCAAGAACTGAGGGCCAGCTTTGACTATGACACTAGAGATTCTCTTTGGCAGGGAGGAAATATGGGTTTCTGCACATCAGGGTCTGCATGGAGACAGACACTCAGTTCCACAATGCAGTTTTCAGTTGGAGGAGCAGAAGCAGCCCTATTAAAAACAGTAATACTGATATAAAGCCTAGTGGAAATCAGTGAATATGATATGGAATATTTGAAGCCATTAGAGGTTAAACCTGGTTTAAAGCTTTGGCTTCTTGGGGCCTGGAGCCCCCTTTGTCGCACTTAGAGTGGGTTTAAGATGCCATTCAATAGCATCAGTTGTCCCTTTGTATCTGCTACAGATCTTCTCCTGTATCTTCTCCTGTTCAGATGTTTGAGGAATTAGAGGATCTTGTAACTCTTTAATTGATATTGTGTGTGTTCCAACCACTTCCTTTTAAACATTCAATCACTTAATGAATGTACTGCTGCTGCAGAGCTTATCCTGTTAACAAAGGAACAGAACAAACCCCTCCTCTGTGGAATTAGTGTGTGCCTGAGAGAGATTTTCTCAACTTCTTGGTCTGCAAATGTTCATTTAGTCCAAAAATGTTTCTTTGGGGGTGGATTTAAATAACCAAAAATCACACGGGAAATCACCAGCCCTGTTTTAGCAAGTTTACACATTTTGTGCTTACTTTAGGTACTGAGGCTAAACTCAAAAGTCAAAGTGAAGTCAGGCAGCACAGCTTGATTTTGGTTTCGTTTCAGACTGAAACAATAAACCCCACAGGCTCCTGCCAAAAATGGGCTTCATTCCATTGTACAGCCTGCAAGTCTCACAGGACGTGAAGCTCGGCTGTGCTGTTCCATGTGGTTTAGTTACAAACATGGCATTGACCACCAGATTTACCCAGAATGGAAAGCTAAGAGAATTCTCCTCGGTTTTTATCCATTACATACAAGAATAACTTATTACTTCAACTGAACCAAAAAGAGCTGTCACTGTGAGCAAGTGGAGCTGGTGCTGAGCCAAATTTAACCTTTATTCTTACTTATGTATTCTTTAAAATGAGCCAAGGAGCTCTGGCCGTGGGCTGTCAGCTTTGGTGAGAGGGACACTATCAGTACAAAGCAGGAACAAAACTGGGATTGCAGGAGCTTTATGGAAGTGCAAGAAATGGAAATCGAGCGCTCTGGGTTCTTCCCCGTGTTTGGCCAAGAGCAGCACGACAGGCCACAGAGTAGGTATGTAGTGTGCCAACCTGTAATAATCCGAACCTGTTTCCTTACCCAGGTTCTAGTCATGAAAGGAGTGGTGAACCACCCTTGCTTTAAACCATGGCTTGTTCTCGCTGCTCTAAAACTGCAAATCTCATTGCTTGCCCTGCTCAGCAGGCTGCAATAGTGTTAGACTTATGAATACTTAAGATTTCCCCCAACATTTTCTGCACTTTCGTATTTCATGCAGCCTGACATGAGAGAGTTCCTGTTTGCAGTGGGAAATCATAATGGCTGTAAGCATATTTGCGACAGAGACAAAAATACCTGCTTCTTTGGCTGCAAGCTGTCACTGTTTTCAGCAGCACATGGTTCTATCTGTGTTTGAATTATATTTCTAGTGACTTCCAGTCCTCCTCCTCAGAAACCTGTTCTTCATTGGACAAAATGTCAGGAATTAAGTAAAAATAGGGAATGGCATCCACAGCAAGGCGGCAGAGCTTTACTGAGCTGTGGTTGTCTGGGAAACCAGCTCCAGGTTTAACTGCACTCTCGGGCAGTTAATTTGTGCTCAGCTTCTCCTTAGATGCTGTTTAATTTTCAGACTAGCTTCTATTCCCTACCGCAGCAAAGAGCAAAGCACCACCCTGCAGGTGCTGAGGCACCCACGTCATTCCATAGAGCTGCGTGTTGCCCCTCGTTTTCCCAATGTGAGCCACACACAAGACATGGAGTCAGAAAGAGCTGAGCACAGAGCTTCAACCCAAAAGCTCTATCTCAGGAAATGCAGCGTGTTCACTTCCCAGACTTGGGCAGCTTTGAGAAACCTCCATGTACAGAGACACCCAGGGCTGCGTTTGGAATGCTCAGCAAAGCCCAGAGAGAGAGAAACCAGCAGCTGTCCGGGCTGACCTCCTCCGGAGTACATCTAAAGAGGCCTTCAGATGGAAGTGATCTGGGTTCTACACCAAATCCCAGTTAGGTGCAAAACCCCCATCAAGTTGAGTGTCTGCATTAACCTACTGAAAAGGAATAGATGTCAGTGTTGCTTACAATGCCAGAAAAGAAACCCTTCAGGCTGGGGCCTGAGGTAAGATTACAATTCTACATCACTCAGTGGAGTATTACTGTCCCTTTAGGTTTTGATTCCTGTTTTCACTGTTGCTAAAGCAGCAGCTGTGTTACTGAGCCTATTTTTGTGACTCTGAATCAAGAACTCTTGCTTTTTCTCTAACCTGTTTTTGTTTTGGTGTTCTTGTACTGTTTAAGTGGGCTGGAAATGCCAACACTACTGAGTTACCTTCCTCCCACTGGAATGGGGTTTGAAACAGTAACCAAACCACACTACCAGGAGCTTATCCAGCTGTACACCTGGAGTCCTACAAGAACGGCCATACTGTCAGGTGAAAATCCATGTAGACCTGTGTGGTGTCCTTAAGAGGAACCAGGAAACAGTGTAAGTAATGGGCCCTGTACGAAGGGAATTCCTCAGCAGGGAGTTGCATCTGAACCACTGTGTCTAAGAACCACTGATACTGTCCTTCAGAAACCTGACTGATCCCTTTAGATCCCACTGAAACACTTGGCCTTCATGAGCACTATCCAGGAGAAACAAGTGCCACGACCTTCTCTTGTGCTCTTTAAACACCCTTCCTTTCCTGACCACATGCTGCCTGACCATTGCACTAGGTTCTCCTTGTCCTACGTAAACAGGGTACTGAATAAACCACTGCTGAATCACCTTGTCCATACCACACATCCTTGGACAGGCTTCTCTCATACCTCATTCCCACTCACACTTGTCTGTTCTGCTTCTCTGGACATCCTTGCTGTCATTGCTAGATAGTAGGACAGTAAGAAATGGAGACCAGGGAGTGTAAAAGTAGGCTCCAGGTTTTTCCTGTTCTGTTACCAGCTGATGACCTGATGGATCTGGGCAGACCTGCCTGTTTCCAGGTGCTCCTTCTGCTGGTTGGCATGAATGGTACTGGAGATGCTGATAGCGCCACTTCCAGAGGGTTATGCCAATCCTCCTCTCTTTTTATGCACAGTTTTAGAGATGGAGAAATTAAAATGCTTTTTAGGTAAACGCTTCTGCTGCCACATGGATTTTGTTGCCATTAACAAAGAGCTAAACAAGTAAAAGGTGTTAAATGTTTGCTTCCCATTTGTTACACTAGAAAGCGACCGACTTTTGCCAGCTCCTCACAAGCTTGCTCTAAGTCTGCTTCACAGAATAAATCAGATTTTCAGTTCCAGTGCTATAAAGGAATTATTAGGAATCTCAAAATTCCAGCAGCACATTTTTAACATCTGTATTAAAAAGGTTTTTTGGAAATCTGTACCCATATATGTGTTGATACGATCTAAAACCCAGCAGTAAAGGAGCATCTGAAAAAGGGCGAGAGGCCAGGAACTAAAAACGTATTCCCATCCTCTAGTTTCTACATTGTGACTTCTGGAAAAGTATTTTTAAGGTCTCTTCATAAAGAAAATGTGATGTTATGTTACCCAGTGAGATTCCATCCTGCTGCCCTGGGTGCGATAGGGGGGAATGGCCATTGTGATTTCACATCACCAAAGAACCTGCTGTAGCTAGAACCTGGTTTCATCTTCCTCAGCACTTCTCCCAGATACTCCTGTGTGAGTCATTCGGGATTCAGCCTAAGAGTTGCATTTTAAAACTGACTTAACAGTTTTGTCACCAAAATGGGGCATTTCACAGCTCTGCCAGACTGCAGCATCCTAAAAGCTCATTTACAGTCTCACCGCATTGCTTTTGCACAGTCTTGCTGGTTTACAGTAGGATCCTTTTAAGGCACCAGGAAAGGAGCCCTGCTTTGCAGAGTTAAATTCAACCTTCATCTACCAGTGTAAGAGCTATAAAACCCAGATGGACTCCCACAAAAATTTTACTGGGCTTCTTGTGATAGATGAACAGATAGCAACCCAATTCTCTTAAAATATAGAGCCCCATCTTTGTGATTATCATCAGCTCTGTGAAGAGCTACTCTCGTCCTCCAGAGGCCTGTGCACGGTTTGCCTTCAGCAGGCGAAGAGGAAAGCTTACTCAATGTAAATCACTACAACAGGGATGTTTGTCACTGGACAGAGTCTTGGACTAGTCTTGGCCTAGTGTGGGGCATCCTGGCCCATGGCAGGGGGTTGGAACTGGATGATCTTAAGGCCCTTTCCAACTCAAACCTTTCTGTGATTCTATGACTCCATGGTACTAACATCATCCTAAAGGTCCATTTGTGGTTTTCGCCTGAAAGCTAGCACTTTGTGAGAATAAAACATTCAGTAACTGATCAATTCCAAGGAATATTTTCCACTACAAAAAATACAGTTTATGCATCTAGTGCAGCTAAAACAGGTGAGGAACTGTTGTAGAATTCTGTTTGTGATTGGAATTTATCGCACCCCTCCCAATGTGTTTCTGCCTATAAAACACAGACAAAGGCAAAGGGCTGCATTTTATTTCCTTGAGTTGTAAATAACTGGGTGGAAACCAGGACATTATTTCTAAGTCCTTAACAACTGGGAATCATCTGATGATTTCTCTTTCCAGCCTTTCTTTTCCTAATCCGAATTATTCCTAGGAAGTCCTCCCCCTTTCCCCACAGCAGTGGGCATGGTTAATGTTCTTCACTGGGAACCTCTCTCATGTTGAACCTGGTGAAGAACGTTTTCTGTGGTCTGTGGGATATGTTCTGGTACAAGCACTCCCTTGACACTATTCCTGCTTCAGAAGAGGCAGCGTGTGAAACAGCATGTGGCTCCTTCCTTGGATAGCTAATGATTGTCTAGTTACAATTCTTAAAGCATAAAGGATGCCTGAGCAAACACAGTAACTCAAAGTACTAGCTCTAGAACACACAGTACCTGTAGCAACAACTAAAACTCAATATGCTGGCAAAAGGTTATGAATCATTTCCTAGTAACACACAGTCTCGCTCTTTTCTCTCCTCACCAATACTAGCATAAACAGTAGCAAAAATCTCCATTCCAACATGGACAAAGAGAAATAAACCACTCTAAGATTAGAGAATCACTTGAAGGAACATTTGAT